GAGAGGAAAATTTGTTCAACTAATGCCTTTTGTGATAGGAAGCAACATATAGTTAATCTTCCTTATGTCAAAACCTTGGACGAGAAAAATATTCCTACGAAGCCCGACCTATTCAAATGAATAAAGAATTGCTAACATTCTGCAAAGCAAAAATTAATGATCTTTTGCAGAAGGGTCTTATTAGGCCATCAAAGAGCCCCCGGTCATGCGCGGCGTCAACAACCAGGTAGAGAAGGAACGTGGAGTCCACGACTAGCAATAAACTACATCCCCTTAAATAAGGTTTTGGAATGGATTAGATATCCAATCCAAATAAATCAGATTTAATACAAAGAATTTCAAATGCAAAAGTATTTTCAAAACTTATATGAAATCAAGATTTTGGCAAATCCAGATTTCAGAAAAAGACAAATATAAAACGGCTTTCAACGTCCCTTTCGAACAATACGAATGGAGCGTTATGCCATTTGGGCTAAAAAACACTCCATCCGAATTTCAAAAAATTATGAATGATATTTTCAATACTTTTCAAGACTTTTCAATTGTTTATATTGATGATGTTCTGAGTTTCTCTCAAAACATCAACCAACATTTTAAGTACCTTCAAACCTTTTTGACAACAGTCAAAAGAAACGGTTTAGTTGTGTCTAAACCAAAAATTAAACTTTTTCAAACAAAAATTTGTTTTCTTGGATTTGAAATTCATTTGGGTCTAATTAAACCCATTCAAAGATCCATTGAGTTTGCCTCAAACTTTTCGGATCAGATCACGGATAAAACACAACTACAAAGATTTTGGGATGTCTCAATTATGTTGATTTCCTTCAAAATATCAGACACTTTTGCAAGCCACTTTTTGAAAGGCTCAAAAAGAATCCCAAGCCCTGGACTGAAGAACACACCAAAACAGTCTAAAAAAACAAATCCCTTGTCAAATCAATTTCGTGTTTATCTCTGATAAACCCAAGAGTTGGTTTAATAGTGGAGACCGACGCATCCAATATTGGATATGAAGGAATCCTAAAACAATTCCTTGACAAGAAAGAATCCATTGTCCGTTTTCATTCGGGAATATGGAAGTCTACTTCAAAGAATTACTCAACAGTAAAAAAGAAGATACTTTCAATAGTACTTTGTGTACAGAAATTTCAAAGCGATTTAATTAACAAAAGCTTTGTTATCAAAACCGATTCTAGGGCATCTAAATTTGTTTTAGAAAAAAATGTCAAGAATCTTGTATCTAAATAAATTTTCGCTAGATGGCAAACAATTTTATCTTGCTTCGACTTTCAAATTTTGCCTATAAGAGGGGTCGAAAACCCCTTGGCGGATAAACCTCTCAAGCAAGTTCTTACTCTCGAAGAAATCTTCTCTCTAACTGATCCTTTTCACCCTGCAATGATCAGAAAGAAAATAGTGGAAAAAGGGAATAAGCCCATTGCTTCTTCTAACACTCCTACTCCAATGACGTCTGACAGCTATGCTATGGATGCTGGCTTCACATTGGTGACCATATCTAAAGCAAGGCTTTCTCAAAAACAAGCGGAGGTTATCACTCTGACGAGGCCTTCTGCCTCTTCTACACGGCCATCTGTCGTTACTCCATCGAGACTTGCTGTCTCTTCCACTTCAAAGGGACCTTCTGTTCCCTCAACCTACTCGGACGTGGTTGTTCCCATTCAATTCTCTCCCGTTCCTAAAATCATGACCTGTTTTCAAAAATCTGTGTCTATACCAGAAGCTCTGGTAGAACTAGAATACGACGACCCAAAAATCAGCGAGGTCCTCAAGAAAGCCTATCCATCGGGATTCTTTTATATCTCAGATGATCTTCATAAGACCAGAAGGTTTTATGAATTCATTTTGGTCGACACAAAGTCTGTCGAAATTACTCATATTCCGAGTTGCGATGATCCTTCAAAAATCGCGTACTCAAAATTAAAAATTTTCAAAGTCATGAATCCGACGTACTGGAATCAAGATACCTACACGGAATGACTTTTTCAAAACCGTTTGTTCCTCACTCTTGCTCATACAGAGATTATCAGATGGCATGGTTCAATGTCATTTGGTATCAAAATTACGAGCACTCATGGTTTATTCAATTATGCCAGAATGCTCATAAAATTCATTACTCATTTTGGTTCATCAAATGGTGGAAAATATTTGAATCAGCCAAAGATATATTTCCCGTTCCAATACAAGAATCGTTTCACTACTTCATTCAAAACATATTCAAAACTCTGTTTCCTTTAGCCATGTGCTTTTGTGTATACTTTCAAATTCCTTGGATTTTAACCTGTAATTTTCGAATAAAAGAAACTAAAGACGAAGTAAAACAGGTCTTCAAAAGGTGGGATAAATACACTCATACCCACGCGGATCTCGAAGCGGTAAAGGTTTGGTTATCTGAGAATGGCCACCTTCAAGATTTATCCAAGAAGAAGACCTCTAAATTTCTTAATTCAAAGTCAAAGCTACTTGCTGCATTAGCCCAGACAACTTCGAAAGCTGATTTTCAAAAGCTTCTTCAAGAGGTCGCATCAGTTGAATCAACATCTTCTTCTTCTATAGTAGAAGAACAGGAAGACACAATTTACGATCTCAATGATCCATTTTTGGATTCTCAACTACCAATATAAACATCATCATACGTAGAGGACTGAATAGTCCTTAAACTATTTATTATAATAATAATAATAATAATAAAATAATAAAATAATAAAATAAAATAAAAATCGTGGGTGGAATATGTCTCCTGACGTATTCTTACCATCTTTGTTTCTTTACCCTTTTATCTTTTTTGCTTTATTATTTTGTTTTTTACTTTTTTCACTTTCATCTAATTGTTGATGGATATGGACTTCCACTTTCATCAAAATTATTGATGAATATGGACTTGTATGTACATTCAGACGTATTCCCTAAATTTAGATATACATTATCTGTAAATTAAGCTAGGATGACAGAGCTATGTAAATATAAGGGCTCAAGTCATTAAGCGTTATCTCGAGTTTTCTTGATCCTACTAAAATTAGAGTTCAATCTAAAAGTTGAATTTAAAGATCGAAGGGTTTTGTACAGGCGAATCTCGATTGCATGATTCTTTGAAAATTGATATTTTCATAATTTTTTTTTAGTTTAGGGGTATTTTGGCATTTTAAAACTTTTGAATACTTTATCATTATTTTTAAGAATTTTAATCTTTAATCTAAAATTTTTCTTAAAACAATTTTGTGAAGAATTTTGTAAACAACATGCATCTCCATATTTTAAATGCCTCCGATAAAGTGTTGTCCTAAATAAGAATGAGCTCGAGATGAGACTTTGACTTTTAGGTAATTAGGAAGCCACCTTAAGAACATGTATTTAGTAAGCTTATCACACACCAAAATAATGCCAAGACACAAAGAATGCTAAGAACAAAGAACCAAGGTTTTAAGACTTCGAAACCAAGGTTTTAAGACTTCAAAACCAAAGAAATCCCTATTCTAACAACAAAGATCCAATTCAAGAGATTTGTAAAATGGGCTCCATGCTCTTGAAAATTCAATTTGTATACGAGTTGTCATATAATAAAAGGCGCCCATGGCCTAATGGATAAGGTATCTGACTTCTAATCAGGCGATTGTGGGTTTGTGTCCCACTGGATGTGTAAGTAAGCTTTATCTAATTAATGTCAACATGGATAGAGTGGAGAATTGCCCTTGAATTTAGAAGAAACTCAAGAGTAAGAGACTTAAAATCTAAACATTTATTGCCTACGATTGCCCTTGAATTTAGATTATTGCCTACGATTGGGAGCTGTTCCAAACTATTACCCGCTTCCACTAACATAGAATTTCCCTTGAATTTAGAAGAAACTCGAGAGTTGAATGAGTAGGAGACTTAAAAACGTTTATTGCCCCTACGATTGGGAGCTGTTCCAAACTATTGCCCTTATAGGGGAGCTTCCACCGACGTGATTTGGAGATTGAATTTTCTAAATAATTTGTTGAAAATATCCTCTCCGATCAACGAGCTGCCGACTTTCAATTTGAATCTGACCGTTGGATTTGTTGATCTGTGAACGTTCTAGATCGTGTTCATTTTTCCCTCCTTGAAAATCTTGAAATTCCTAAGGAATTAAAAATCTGGAAAGTTTCTTAAAAATTAGAAAAATGACCATTTTGTCCTTTTACTTATCTTTTTTTTCCTTTCCAACCATTCTAAAGGCCTTAAAACCTTAAAATTACTTGGGTATAGAAATGACATCCGTAAGACCCTTCTCATGCTTAAATCCCTTAATTTCTTTCCTCGAATCTTTTGAGTCTTAGGTGGGTGGCTTATTTTAATTGGAGTTTTTTTTTTTGGTGTTACATGGAGAAACCTACTACCATAGGTGGGTGGCTTATTTTAATTGGAGTTTTTTTTGGGTGTTACATGGAGAAACCTACTACCATACATCATCAAGCAGTCAAGTACATTATCCTTGACTGGGAGAATCACATGCAATGGGTTAAAGTATGATAAAGGACAAGCACCTAAAGAACTAGTCGATTTTACCGATAGTGATTTAGCTAGAGACATCGATGATAGAAAAAGCATCAGAGGACTGATGTTATATACCAATAGAAATTTGATCATTTGGTAATCTTGGAAACAGTGAACTGTGTCGCTATCTTCCTATGAGGACGAGTTCATGGCAGCCACTGCAGTGTCATGCCAAGCATTAGGGCTGAGAAACTTGTTGAGCAAGGTGACCAGTAGCGAGTTAAAGCTACTAACTCTCTACATTAACAACAAATCTACAATTACATTGATGAAGAATCCAGTATTTAATAGATGCAGTGAGTTGTCGAAAAGCAATAGATCGTTGAAAGGGTTCGTCTACACTAGAGAGCAATGTGCTAATATTCTCACTAAAGCCCTAGCAAGGGTTAAATTTGCTGAGATATAGGAGTTTCTTGGAGTAGAGAATTCTCGAGTAAAGTCAAGTTTATGGGAGAGATTGTGAGTCAAAACTTGACTTTAACATAATTTATAGTTCGCAAGAGTTATAAATTACTCATCAACCCAATCTAATTCCGCTCGGTCAGAGTTTTGATAGAAAAATTGATCATTAACTCTCGTTCGTCAAAGACACGAGAGTGAATCATTACGATAATTTACAAAAGCATTCAAGATTTTCATTCAATACACAAACTTGGGGTTGGGTTATGGCATTGATTCATTTAAAGGGTTGGAACTCTTTCAGCCTTCCCTGAAATGACTGTGAGCAAGTTATTTCCAAAAGGATCACTCAAATGCTTAGCCAAGTTCTCCACTGGCCCTTCTCCAGTCACGTATGCTTGAAAGTAAAACCCTAGCATTGCAAACAATGCCAATCTCCCATTCTTGATCTCCTTCACCTTCAAGATCGCGGCTTGGTCTGGGTCGTCCGCTAGCCCCAACGGGTCGAACGGCCCTCCCAGGTGAAGTTTGTCCTCAAAGTTCTACAAAAACAATAACATTTAGTAATGATTTTCAATATTAATGCAACTTTCGGTTTCCCCTCAATATTTTTAAAACGCGTTTGCTAGGAAGAGGTTTCCACCCCTTATAAAATGGTTCGTTCTTCTCCCCACCCAATGTGGGATCTCACAATCCGCCACTCCCTCGTTCGGGACCCAGCGTCCTCGCTGACATTCGTTTCTCTCTCCAATTGATGTGGAATCTCACAATCCACCCCTCCTGCGGAACCCAGCGTCCTCGCTGACACTCGTTCCTCTCTCCAATAGATGTGGAATCTCACAATCCACCCCTGTTTGGGACCCAAAATCTTCTCGTTCCTCTCTCCAATCGATGTGGAATCTCACAATCCACCCCCTTCGGGGCCCAGCATCCTCGTTGGCACACCACCCGGTGTCTGGCTCTAATATCATTTGTAACAACCCAAGCCCACCGCTAGGAAAAGGTTTCCACACCCTTATAAAAAAATGTTTCGCTCTTCTTCCCAATCGATATGGGATCTCACAATTAACTTACGTGAACTTACAATTTCACGGCTTTGAATACAAGATCTCTTATTGAGAATATTTAGTCGTCCATTATAGTTTACCATATGTATCATATTTGACTCTTGATCATAGACTAATATTACAGTTTCTTCGGTAATCTATTTGATTCTGTAAATAATTATAAATAGAGAACTTTCACCTCACGTGCAATGGTTTTAGCAAATATTCTCAGATTCCCTGTAAAGTCATTATTAAACTAAAAAACTTTATCCAAAAAAATTCGTACCAAGCCATTGATGATTCGGTAATATTCAGCGCCACCAACAAGAACGACCTCAGCAACGACCGCGGCAACGAGGTTGATCGGAATGCTATTTCCAAAGTAATTCAATGTGTTTCCATCAAGAAGCAGAGCTCCAGTCTGCATATCCCAATAATTCACATACAATTTTGTTCTTAATTTGTTGCTTTGAAAACTAAGTATATATAAACACAATCAAACCGACCTTGAACCAGACAGCCTCCGGGCCACAGTTGGCGCCAAATTTGTTGAAAGCCTCAGGAATGATGAAACCAGCAGCCCCAAGCATCGCCCATCGTGCATGTATCAACTCAAAGGCTTGATATCTACCCAAGAAATAGAACAAAAAAACAAGGCAATCTTTATGTAAGCTTCATATGATTGAAGAAATTAGGGTTGGGATTTTAGATTAATAGAGATTTATTTACTTGGTGAAGTTTTCTGGATTCTTGCTGAGTCCTAACGGGTCGTAACCGTAGCTGTAATTAACAAAATAAAAGGTCATGGGTTTATCAGTAAGGAATATATTTTCATTGTTTTGAGGCCTTTTGGGAAGCCGAAATCGAAGTCATGAGAGCTTAAAGTGGACAATATCATACTACTGTAGAGAGTAGTGATTCTTAACAATATCAGAGTCATGCTCTTAACTTAACCATGTCAATAGAATCCTCACATGTGGCACAAAGAAATTGGGACCCTCGAGAGTATAGTCAAAAGTGACTCAAGTGTGAAGAGTGTAGTCAAAAGTGATTCAAGGTTCGAACAAAGGGTGTACTTTGTTCGAGAACTCCAGAGAAAGGTCGAGCCTCGATTAAGGGGAGGTTGTTCACGGCTTCATAGGCTCTCAAATGACAAATAATAAAGTTGTGAGCCTTAAAGGTATAGTCAAAACTTACTCAATTGTCGAAAAGGGTGTACTTTGTTCGAGGACTCTAGAGAAGAAGTCGAGCCTCGATTATGTGGAGGCTGTTCGGAGGCTCCATGGGCCCTCAAATCTCGAACAAAGAAGTTGTGAGCCTCGAAGGTATAGTCAAAAGTGACTCAATTGTCAAACAAAGGGTATACTTTGTTCGAGGACTCTAGAGAAGGAGTCGAGCCTCGATTAAAGGGAGGTTGTTCGAGGGCTCCATAGACCTCAAGGGAGGCTCTATAGTATACTTTGTTTGAGGGGAGAATTAGCGGGAGGGAGTCCCACGTTGGCTAATTTTGATCATGATCATGGATTTATAAGGAATACATTGTTATTGGTACGAAGCCTTTTGTGGAAGCCCAAAGCAAAACCACAAAAACTTAAAGTGGACAATATCGAAAATTAAACCATACTCGCCGGGGACTTCTCCGTTCAAGTACTCCGGGATCTCGGATCGATCCAACAGCCCATCTGGCAAGAAAATCCTTCGGTCGGGACCTAATTAGAATAAAAAATGGAATTCATCATTTTTGGAAATACAAAACATAATTGAGTGAATTCAACGGAGTAGAGAGATCTGAATACGACAGTTGGACTCACCGTACCACTTGGCGAGCTCGTCATTGATCGGAGAGACGGCGGAGGGCTTTGACTTGGGGGCGGGCTTCTTCCTGAAAATTGCAACAGGCTTGAAGGTGGTCGGACTAGGAGAGGGAGCGGATCTAGCAGAGGCAGTGGAGAAGCTTAAAGGGTTTACGAGCATTTCGGAAACGCCGAGGGAGGCGGCGGCGGAGGAGGCAGCTAAAGAAGCCATGGGCAGAATGGATGCAAGACGTGGAGAAGGAAGAAGCTGTTAAACGAACACGACTCTCCACAATGGTATGATATTGTCCACTTTGAGCATAAGCTCTCATGGCTTTGCTTTGGGCTTCCCCAAAAGGCCTCATACCAATGGAGGTAGTATTCCTCACTTATAAACCCATGATCACACCCTAAATTAGTCGATGTGGGACTTCCATCATCCAACACCTCCCCTCGAACACCGTCATGGTCCTACATTCTTGACCGTGCGGCGTCGTGATCTATACATGCTCACGACCAGCCTTAAGGGGAATTAAGCCCCATTATAGTTTTCGCCCCGGCTTTGTGGCTTTGTCGAACCTTAGGCGAGGTTTGCCTTCGCCAATCGAACATCGCTTGTGCGGAATCCAAGCTTGTTCAACCACACACGCCGCCTGTGCGTGTATGTTCAATCATCTGCGACACATCCGACTTGCCTCTACGCTAGGCCAACCCATTCGGCTCGACCTTGCCTCTCCTCGGGCCAAGGTCTCTCAATACAACGTCGCATCTCATCTTGCCATCTCGATCCCCATTGACAGGGTCCACATGTCTTGACGCCATCCCGAGTCTCGGGATGTCGTCGCTCATCATAACTCGTTCGGTCATGCCATCGAGAATGGGCCCACGTGTCGTTCATCTCATCGGGACTTCCCGAACATCCATCCATCCGAGTTCTATCGAGGCATAGGCCCTCCCGTGCCCATGCCGAGTCGTTTGCGGATACCGTACCGGATAGTGGGTGTATGTAGCAACCTCCAACACGCGGGCTAGGGCGCAATACCGGCACACCCGTGCCGTCCGGTACTGTCCTTCAAAAACCCATTTCAAAGGAAGTCGCCCCAAGACACTCGTCTCGGCACGCTCGCCCACACTGTGACACACGTATGTGCCACAGGGTAGCTCACTTAGGCCACAGGGCCCAGGGGTGGTGGAGAGCTAACACCATGGTACCCTCTATAGTACATTTTGAGCCATTTTCATTCTACCAGGAGTAGACATGATTTTCGTGAGGTGTCATACGGTGTCGTGCATTGTCCGTCCAATGTCCGATTGACACCAAACTTGGCGAGCATTCATATTTCATATGGACGAACTTAACTCCCGAACCGCATGACCAAATTCCTTCCGAAACCTCAACTTTTGAGGTTAAGGCCCGGGGCCCTACCCGGCCCTTCAACAAGCCTATCTTGTCCTTCATGTCTATGCTGATGTCTCTGTTATGCTTGTGTCTCAACATGTCTTCAATGCCCACTTTGCGTGGTGGTGTGTTGGATGATGCATCGTCCTCCTCGATCGCATCATGGCATTCTTCTACGTTGGCCCGCATATGGCCGGATGGGCGTCTCTTCAGGGACGCCCCTTTGCTTGTCATGGCGTGAGGGTCACAACCTACTCTCTTCTTAGTAAGGTTGTGACATTCTCCCCCACTTAACTTAGTCATCGTCCTCGATGACTTACTCAGGTCACAATCATATTGCGGATTGTGACATTCTCCCCTACTTGATTTAGTCATCATCCTCGATGACTTTCTCGGGCGCGTTTGCCCCACCTATTGTGAAGTTCTCCCCCACTCAATCTCGGCATCGTCCCGATGACGATCCGACTCTTTGTCTGTTGGCGACTTGACTCGCTGGATTTGGTTGTGCTTCAGAAAAATCTTCTATTGTTGAGCACCTGACGATCTTTTGTCATAATGCTCTCTCTGCTGACGTCTTATGCCAACTTGGGACAAGTTCGAGTGGATGCTTCTGACTTCTCTTTTGTCAGGTGGCACCACGTTCTGACTCTTGACTTGGTCAGTTGTTGGGTGAACTTGTCCTCATTTAGGCTTGTTCCTTTATCTACGGCTATCCCCATTCGGACCTATTTCTGTTGTTCGCCCATCTTGGACTCGGCCACCGAGACTCGCAACGTAGACGTGACTCTTCAGCGTTTGCCATAGTTGTGGGTGAGGCTGACTCTCTTTGCAGTGCCCTATTTTGGCCAACTTGGCCCCAGTGTGTGCATCCTCTTTGGATCACATAAACTAGTGCACCCCTCGAGGTGGGGCTCGCAAGCCCGGCCGCAACACTCTTTGGTTGCGACCACTCCTCCTATTGAGCAAAGTCAACTCTACTAGTGCACCCCTCGAGGTGGGGCTCGCAAGCCCGGCCGCAACACTCTTTGGTTGCGACCACTCCTCCTATTGAGCAAAGTCAACTCTTTGACCTTCTGACTTCTCTTTTGTCAGGTGGCACCACGTTCTGACTCTTGACTTGGTCAGTTGTTGGGTGAACTTGTCCTCATTTAGGCTTGTTCCTTTATCTACGGCTATCCCCATTCGGACCTATTTCTGTTGTTCGCCCATCTTGGACTCGGCCACCGAGACTCGCAACGTAGACGTGACTCTTCAGCGTTTGCCATAGTTGTGGGTGAGGCTGACTCTCTTTGCAGACACTCACCAGACAAGTATGGACTTCAGAGGGCACTTTTGCCCTATTTTGGCCAACTTGGCCCCAGTGTGTGCATCCTCTTTGGATCACATAAACTAGTGCACCCCTCGAGGTGGGGCTCGCAAGCCCGGCCGCAACACTCTTTGGTTGCGACCACTCCTCCTATTGAGCAAAGTCAACTCTTTGACAGTCTCTTCAGTTGTTGGCGCTAACTTTCGGCCAACTCTTTGTATTTTGTCACATCGTGTGACTACTGTTGTGTATGAACTTCCAGCTTGTTGCTCACTTCTCGAGCGGATACTGGTCTTGACATTTGTTGGTGGAGTCATCCACCCTAGGCACACTTGTTGCTCACTTCTCGAGCGGATACTGGTCTTGACATTTGTTGGTGGAGTCATCCACCCTAGGCACAAGGTGGTGACCCAAGGAATACACGTGTGCTCGTATGTCCAAGCACCTTTACGGGGTGAGAGACTTATTGATGTTGCTCTCCCCCGCTCGAACTCAGCTGCCTCTTTGCAGCAAGGTCGTCCCCCCATAAGGACTTACATTGTATACGGCTCTTGCACTCGGCCGACGTTTGTCTTTTCTTGGCTCTCGGCTTCTCTGCTTGCAACCACTGACACTGACGGTGCTTTCTGTTTCATCTGTCTTGTCTACTTCGAAACTGCAAGCTCTTCTCAGATGAGCTTGGTTTTTGCTTGACGGGTAGATCTTCCATATTGAGGTGTCGACACACGACACTAATGAATTTCGGGTAGTCTTGGCTTCAACCCCCAACTGATTATAAATCTGACCGGCAACTGTCCTGCCCATTACGGCACTCTTGACACACTTGACGGTGCTTTCTGTTTCATCTGTCTTGTCCGAGCACCTTTACGGGGTGAGAGACTTATTGATGTTGCTCTCCCCCGCTCGAACTCAGCTGCCTCTTTGCAGCAAGGTCGTCCCCCCATAAGGACTTACATTGTATACGGCTCTTGCACTCGGCCGACGGTTGTCTTTTCTTGGCTCTCGGCTTCTCTGCTTGCAACCACTGACACTATTCCTCCAATGTGAATGGTTCTTTGGAAGGCACCGTCATGGTGCGGTGCTTTCTGTTTCATATGTCTTGTCTACTTCGAAACTGCAAGCTCTTCTCAGGTGAGCTTGGTTTTTGCTTGACGGGTAGATCTTCCATATTGAGGTGGCGACACACGACACTAATGAATTTCGGGTAGTCTTGGCTTCAAGCCCCAACTGATTATAAATCTGACCGGCAACTGTCCTGCCCATTACGACACTCTTGACACACTTGCAAGGTCTTCGATCAACTCTTGGGTTTGTTTCTCTTGACTGTTGACTGTCTTGCCCGACTAGACACACAAAGTGTGGCTCTGATACCATGTTAAACGAACACGACTCTCCACAATGGTATGATATTGTCCACTTTGAGCATAAGCTCTCATGGCTTTGCTTTAGGCTTCCCCAAAAGGCCTCATACCAATGGAGGTAGTATTCCTCACTTATAAACCCATGATCACACCCTAAATTAGTCGATGTGGGACTTCCATCATCCAACAGAAGCAATATGGTTGGTTAAGGTGGATGTGGATTGCCACGTAGGATTTGGGGTTGTGATTACTCATATGCTGAGAAATCCAATGCAGTGCTTTGATTGGTGGAGTATGGTGACGTGGCAGATGTGTCCTTTAAGGTTGTCTCTCTTATTGCTTGATTTGGATATCGTTAGCTATCCTAACAAATAATTATAATAAATAAATAAAAATAAACCACTTTTTATTCTTATAATTTATATTTAAATCTCACTTTTGCCCCTAACATTTCAAAATAATTTTATGCTTTTCAAAAATCTATAATAGTCACGAGTTTTTTAATTTTATTTTGATTTTTTAATTTTTTTTTAGTTTGCATTATGAATTATTTAACATATAATTTTAGATATAGGTTGAATAACTAAGTAATTCAAAAATTATTTTTTAGTTAAAGGGTTAAAAAATAAAAGTTTAAAATTTAGATATCAATATAGTAGGTTAATGGTCTAAGTAACTTAAATAGAGTTCACAATTATTTTATTTTTTATTTAAGATTAGCCCGGGTTCTTTTTTTAGTACTTGTTATACATATTAGATTAATTAGATTACAATGATTGCTTTGGATGATCCACATCTAAGGGTCTGATAAGCACATTGAACTATCTATGTGGCTGAGAGATCTCATAGCCCAGGCACAATGACGCAATTATCAGGGGCGCGCTCTACCACTGAGCTAATAGCTCGTCGTGTGGGCCTCCCGCTGGGGCTCGCTATGCCAAAAGTGAGAAAAAACCCCATCCCTCTCTCTTTCCTTTTTTCGCCCCCATGTCGCCACACGAGAGGGACATGGGGACGTAAAAACTCAGATGTAGCTCGCTTCTTTTTGGATGTGGATTAAATATTCTTAACACTATTTTCAAATTGGTTGGGTTAACTTGACTAAAATAATGTCAACCCACTAATCGACCGGATTAAATGTTCTTAACACTATTTTCGAATTGGTTGAGTTGACTAAAATAATGTCAACCCGCATCAACCCAAATTTTTCGATTTTTTAAAAATTCGACCATCCCAAACCGAAAAAAATCTAACCTGACCAAACTTTTATGATTTAGATTTGATAGTTTAGGGTAACCGGTTTCCCAAGTCATATAAAAATCTCTAGTTAATTTTTAAAAGTTAAGGCTTCGAGCAAAATGGTTGATGCCAAAAGGTTGAAATTATAGAATATAATCACTAAAATACTGCCAATGATCTTATATTGTTGAATGCACAACTTAAACCAGCCTGTTCTTTAATAACATTGAACATACTTTAGATTACTTCTTTTTTTCTTTTTTTTTTTTTTTTTTTTCTTTTTTTTGTAGTTTTTCCTTCCATGCTTTTGATTATGGATCTTACTAACGATGGTGGAAGGGGATTGGACCTTAATGTAAAAGAAGAGAACTTCATCTTTTCCACTTGTCAATCTCCTGTGCGGTAACTCGAATAAGCTTCTTTGTATTGAGGGCGAGCTCGTCCACAAGCGCGCCGATCTCGTCCCTACTGATAAAGTAAAAATGGAAGTCGAGAAATGTTTCTTGATGACAGAATAATAAAAGTTCTTCTATAGCTGCACAGATTACATATGAAAAAGGCGAATAAAGACAGTTCAAGCCATCTTGGAAATGCCACCAGTTGTATTCTAGCTTCACTGATTGTTTGGATTCCAGTTATTTCAGCTGAGAAAATCATTCTTAATCCTGTGTTTCAACTCAAGAGGATGATTTCAAAAGGGAATTATTATCCTAATCGTAGTTCAACGATCTCGACAAGCAACGGTTAGTTTCAATGATTTTACCAAAACAATTGACGTGGCCAAGATAGCGTCCCCCAAGTCGAACAGGAACAAGAAATAGAAGGGTGCTAGGAATTTGTACGGGAAAAAACCATGGCAATCAACCTCAGCAGCTAGAACACATTATAGCTAGCACCATAAAGCCAGCTGAGTATCAAATGTGCATCTCACTAGCACACGATTGCTTTTAAGAACTTCAAAAATAGGCGTTTAATCCACCGTCCGTGAAGAAGTTGTACATCAATGATTCAGTAATAAGATAAAAGAAAAGAGACTAAATTACGAAAACAGTTAAAACCTTGCCATATTTTTAAAAATGTACTCTATTCTCTCCAAAATTGCAATAATACCTTAGTTTCAAAATATTTTTTTAAATGTCAAAGATAATATTGCAACTAATATGAGTTCTTTGTTTTCAACTCTTAGAACTTGTTCTTTCTGGTGCAAGAATAAGTACTCTTTTGATCATAATAGCATTTTTTATTTCATCGCCCATTGGAGAGTTTTTTTTTATTTTTTTATTTGGGGTAATTCACTCTAGTTGTTTGGAGCTTTTACTCCACTATTTCATCTATCATTCCAATGAAATTGTTTTTCTTTCAAAAAAAAGAAAGAATGAAAAAATATAAACACTTTGAAAATGGCTAAAGAGAAAATTTCCCCCCAACATCCTCTCCCAAGAATCCATTTGTTTCTCTCCAGCTAAATGTTCCATAAAACAACTAGAAGGGCAGTCCTCAACAAAATGCCTCGGTTGTCTAAGAAAGGTGAATGGAACAGCACCTCTTCAATCATTGAGCAGCACGAGACTTATATTGGGTGTAGAGGATTGTTGGGAGGGAGTCCCACATTGGCTAATTTAGGGAATGATCATGGGTTTTATAAGTAAGGAATATATCTTCGTTGGTATGAGGCCCTTTGGAGAAGCTCAAAGTAAAGCCACGAGAGCTTATGCTCAAAGTGGACAATATCATATTATTGAGAAGAGTCGTGATTCCTAACATTGGGACTATGGAAATATGGAAGGTCTCCCTCCAGAAAAGAGCCCAAATTATAGTAGTATATTTACATTTCCAATGCACGTGATCCCAAATCTCTTATGATCTAAATTTCTTTTCAGGGTCGGGCATAACAGTCGGTTTAGACCAGTAGTTTAGTAAACATAGGCGGCAGGGAGAGTTCTGTGCAATGCATTGGCAAGTCAAATGAGCCCCGCCCCAGAATAAAGGTCTCCGAAGGTTAAGAAAAAGAAAGAAAGAAGAAATTAAACCATTTGGTTACAGAAGCTGGCTGTAAGAGAGAGCTTCCCCCAACACACGCTCTACTCCTTAAAAATCCATTTGTTTCTCTCCCGCAAAATGTTCCATAAAGCAACTCAAAAGGTAGTCCTCAACAAAACACCTCCGCTGTCTTCGAAGGGGAATGGAACAACACATCTTCAACTATTGAGCTACACCAGACATATTATGGCCATGGAAATATTGAGCTCCAGTCAAGAGCCCCAAATTGAAGTAGCATAGTTACATATCTCTATTGCAACAAATCTAGATTGGCTATCAGGAAATCTTTGCTACACGCCAAGTGAAATACTATTCGGGTACTTCTATCTATCGCAACAAATCTAGATTTGCCACCATTTCAACTTGGTGTAAAGAATGCATTTTTAAATGGCTTACCTTTGGGATTTGATGACAGAAGTTTAGGTTGATAGCTTATTTCTAGCACATATGATAGGTAATCCTCTTGTATAAGTTTGAGTCTTTCTCATCACTCAAGAAGTACAAAATTCTTTTTCTCTCATACATAACTTCAAATACCAATCATCGTGAAAGTATTGTCCACTAATGACGATGGATAGGTCTCCAACATCTAAAACAAAATGATGGATGTCAATTATGTATACAGGACACTGTACTTAAGTGGTTATGTGAGAACCCAGATTTTACTTACGTTAGAAGGGGCAAAAAAGGAAATAAACCATCTGAGAGTTAGAGAGGGTGAGGGGACCCGTGGGATCACTATAAGGAAATGTTGGGGGTAAAAGGCAGCATATATAGGTATAATAAGGAAGGTGTAGAAATTTTCATGTTTTATCTTTTCTAGAAAGTTATAAGGAAAGAGAGTTTATCAGGCCTCTCAAATAAGCTGAAGAGTTTCGTATTGCCTTATGGCAATTTCTTCCTTTAAATATCAATACATTATAAGGAGATAACTTACAAGTCAAAGCCGCTTTGTAGGAGGTTGGTGGGTTTTTTAATGATTGCGGGGGAAGGGGCAAAGTGTGGTTGGTTTAACGGTTGCCTTCCTGATCAGGAGAAGAGGGGGCTCTGGTTTATAACTAGTTTTTAATGATGGAGAAGGTGGGTGGTTGGTAATAAAATTATAAAAGCTACCCATCCTATTCTATCTTCTCCTACAGGTATGAAAAGTTTGTTGAGACTTCCTTTGTTATGTTGAAGAAGGGCAACCGTTGCAAGTCTACCCTTTTGGTTTGATGATATATGCACCAAATAGTTTGTTTTGTCAATAAGTTCCTCCTTAAAAATTTTCTGATTTAATTGGGCAGTTAGGAGGGTTTGGAAGGTATCAACTCAACATCGAAGAGATTTCCAATGGATGGTTATGAAGCAAGCTCTCTGTCTCTTTACCTCAGAAAACTTAACACAACTACCTCTGTATCTACTATCGACTTTCTCTGTTCACTTATTCATTGGATGGGTGGTTAGTACAGTGGCTAAGTGAAAGTTGTTCATGGTTTCTGTGATATCCCACGTTGGTTGGTGTGGAAATCTTTCCCAAACAAACGCATTTTAAAGTTCGAAAGGAAAAGCCCAAAGATAACAATACCTACTAGCGGTGGACTTGGGCCATTACAAATGGTATTAGAGTCAAACACCGGGCGATGTGCCAGCAAGGAAGTTGTTCCCCAAAGGGGGTAGACACGAGGCGGTGTGCCAATAAGGACGCTGGGCCCCGAAGGGGGTGGACTTGGTGGGGATCCCACATGGATTGGAGAAAAGAACGAGTGCCAACGAGGACGCAGGGCCCTGAAGGGGGGTGGATTATGCTATCCCACAGTGGTTGGGGAGGAGAACGAAACACCCTTTATAAAGGTGTGGAAACCTTTCCCTAGCAGACGCGTTTTAAAGCCTTGCGGGGAAGCCCGAAAGGGAAAGCCCAAAGAGAACAATATCTGCTAGTAGTGGGCTTGGGCCGTTATAGTTTCCAATGAAGGTGAGGTGGAGGTGTGGAGGCAAGTAGAGAGAGAAAGAGAGTCACTGGGGTTATTTTTTGGAATTTACATCGTGGAAAATTGCCACCTTAGTCAATACATGGTTAGGAAAAAGCAGGTCACCAAATCTAGATAAGCACTAAAATGGGAATTATCCCTGACTTGTAATAATGCATGCAGGAACAGAACAGGATAGTCAGAAGTTGAAAACAGTTAGTTTAGAACTTACTGAGGAAAAATACTTTGACGACCATTTAACAGATCCCCAACGTTAGAGTATCTCCGTTTGTCATCTTGCGCAATGCCCCTGCCCGCACCATAGCCAAATCCTAAGCCAACTCCACATCCAGCACCAAGACCAAAGCCAAGTTGTAGGCCAGGAATTCCTGGACCAAATCCAGCACCTAGAATGGAGAACAAATTTTGCAAATACATCTATTTTAGTTTAAATTAAACAAGGATAGTTCACCACAGTTCAAGGTTCAAAGTAAAATTTTCATAGTGATACCATTTATGAGCTGACACTCAAGCCCTACCTTCTACCACAACCCAAATCCATGATAGTTTCCTCTTCTATGCATGTGTGTACGCAAGTGTGTATGTGAGAGACCCAGAAGACGCTTTATCTTCCCAGTTCCTTTTGTCCTCTTTTTTTCATTTATAAATTGTTTACTATCAAAAAGAAAATCTTCTTATATACTAAAAATCATACTATAATAAAGGATAGAGAGAATTTATTCCTCATCAACATGTAAGTACTATGTGAATTCTAATTTTTAAAGTCTTATACATTTTGAGCTTTAGGCACCAAAAAATCCTTCTAAACAGATTGATGGAGTTTAAAACATGTAGCCAAGTATCGCTTGTAGAGTCCAAAGTTGAGATAAATAAAATTCAAAACCCACCCTCCCGACTAACATGAGAGTCACCATAATTTAACAAAAAGAATATATATATATATATATATATATATATAGATATAGATATAGATATATCTGCTGACTTAAAAACAATGAAAAGACGAAAAAAAACGGGGTAGGGTGATGTACTTGTGTGGATGGTAAAAGCTCTGATGTTGATTACAACCATACATACACATAAAAAAACACTTGCGTCCCAATAAACTGCTTGAAGAAATTGCATCCATAAATTCCACAGCCACTAATACACATTTAGTTATTTTTCTCGGATGTATCCATCAAAAGACATGTCTAAATTGTTGAACAATAAAGATGAAGCGCAAATAGTTAACAGTATGCAGATAAGTCATGCAGAAGTATACCGCTCATACCATCCTCTCTCCACTTGAAAGATAAAAAATACATTGCACTCGCCGAAGGACAAAAATAAAATAAAAATTATGTTAAAGCACACAACTTATAAACTAAAAGAAACAGAAGAAACAAATAAAGAAAAACAGACAAGAGAAGATCTTAATAAAGAAAATGAAAAGATACCCACCTGAAATCTGAATGAACTACATCTGGGCCTACTTGGGGATTCATGTTTTAGCTATTTTGTACGAAAATTAGTTATTTGCTCTGCAGTACACTTTATTCCTTTTGGTGATTTTCGAACTGAATTTCATCCATAGCATTCCCTTCTTCAAGTCTAAGCTTTTACAGATTTCAACATTCATAAAACGTCGCAATGTGTTAAAATATATTTTAACCATAGAACCTTTCTATCATTAATTTTTGGAAAAACAGAAATGTTGTGATCTGCGTCTGGTCCATCAAAACAAGGTCAAATGCTTCCTAGACTTGGGGAAAAAATCATAGGGCTAAAGAATTTCAACAGCAAGCGTGGCAACGTACATACCATCCAAACACCCATATTCTCTAAACCAGAATGCAAGAAACATGTAATATTGAAGGACAAAAGTCAAAGACGGTAAAAGGCACTAATACCAATTAAATCATCTTGAAACGATTATCAGCCTAAACCAAACAAACACTACAGACAGAATAACCCCACCCAACCTACCTCAATCTCTGAGTCAACAAGCATATCTCCGACTAAAGCAATCAGCAAGTTGCAGGGTTAACACAATCCATAAGGCAACATTTTCAATTCACCAATAGCTAAGCCTCATCAAAGTAGTCGATTAATACGCATTAAACAAAGTGATTCCGCTGATCAAATTGATTTTATGCAACATAATTGAAGTAGTAAAACGAAAGGAATCCAACAGAGGAAAAACAAGCGAGTTACGACTGAAACAAAAAGGAAAAAGACAAATGATGAAGAAATGCTTGTTTAATCTCTGATTCAAGAAGCATAGTCCGACTAAAGCAATCAGCAAGTTGCAGCGTAGAACACAATCCATAAGGCAAATTTTCAATTCACCAAAGATTAATACGCACTAAACAAAGTGATTCCGCTAATCTAATTGATTTTAACAACATAATTAAAGTAGTAAAACAAAAGGAATCCAACAGGAGAATAACAAGCGAGTTACGACTGAAACAAAAAGGAAAGAGAGAAATGATGAAGAATTATTAACCTCCGACGAGGCCGATGCCAAAGCCGACGCCACAACCAACGCCGAGGCCGAAGGCGGGACCTAACCTTCCGATTCTGGAAGATTTCAAAACTGGAAGCTTCCACAGCATTCCGCTCTCATCTTCTCCGCCTTCGTGTCTGCTTCCGTTCATGTTTCGAGGCATTTCTGATATCTTTTTCTTTTCATTCGCCAAATTTGTCAAATATGGTTTTAGGTATAAATTATAATTTCTTCTTAAATTTAAATTTTTATTTTAAAAAAACAATTATATTGAATATATATATATATATATATAAGCGTTCACATGACTTGACAACCTGACCAATTCGAACATTCACCCAGGTTGAGTTCGAATTTTTAGAAAACTAATTTGAGCTATCCAACTCAACCCAACCTAACTCTACCTTACTTCGTAGAAAAATTAAAAATATTTAACGTTTGTAACCAAACTTAGTAATGCGTTATAGTTTGTAAATGTTTAATATTTGAATTTATGAAATTTTAGCTATTAATGTAATATGTACCGTGGATAAATATGATTTTTTTAAAATAGAAAAAAACAATCAAACTCAACTAGAATAGAGAATTGGGCTGAATTGGATTGTGAACTCTAATCATGTGACTCAAATCACCAACTCAATCAACTCGAAATTTCAAGTGGGTCCAAAAGATGAAACTCGTTATGTTTTGTATTCTAACACCGGTGGATTCGTGTTTGTATATAATTGCCACGTATATAAGTAGTTGATTGCTTATCATTTGATCTATATCAAATGATAAGTATATCGATGATATATGAATTGAATAGCAATAATTTTGAATCTATATCAATGATAGACTTATTAGTTCATTGGTCATCTAACTGGTATATCACCGAATTTATTTAATCATCATATATATATAAATAATCAAGTATATCAATGATAAACTTGCCATTTAAAGAAAAAAATCACTAATATATGTTTTAAATTGCTCGTGTATTAAGAATATTATGGAGTATAGCAATAATACTTAGGAGATGAATTGCCGCGTATGAATGATGTAAATATATCAACAATTGAACAAAAATGTAGCAATAATACACGTAGAGCATAGAACATCATTATACGTTAAAAATATATATCTATCATTAATTTATGAATAGTTTATCGGCAGTTTATAAGTAGTATATCATTCATGATTTCGAGGCAGTGAACGTTCTTCCTCCATCTTTCATAAATACGTGAATTCATTAATCAATCAAATTATATATCAACTTACTAATATACCAAATTAAATTTATTTTTAAAGTGCAACAATGATACACTCTATATAAAGTATATATCTAAATAAAGTGTATTAATAATATTAACTATATTAATTATATTGTTGATATAACAAATATAAAGTAGATGATTAATTGACTAATACACTTGGTGGATGAAGATCAATGATGCAACAAGTTTGGAGAGACCAAATGACCTAAAATTCTCTATTTCTTACAAAAGAATGTCTCTACTAAGCTGGTACTTGTATTTCACCTTCACAGAACTTCCAAGAACCATCCTGTTGCCTCTTTGCCAAATAACGAACTATATAATTGCTGCACGCCACGAAGGATCAAGAAAAGTTTTTAGTTTCAAAGAGTAGAAGGGCCTAAGAGTTATGATGACAATAATGGTAATATGAATATAGTTTATGTAACAGCTAAGTCTACCGCTCTTCTTGAAGCTTTCTCTTTCGGGTTTTTCCTCAAGGTTTTTAAAACGCGTCCACTAAGGAGAGGTTTCCACACTCTTGTAAAGAATGTCTCGTTCTCCTCCCCAACCGATGTGGGGATCTCACAATCCACTCCCTTCGAGACCCAGCGTCTTTGCTGGCACCCACCTTGTGTCCACCTCCTTCGGGGCATAGCCTCCTTGCTGGCACATCGCCCAGTGTCTGGCTCTGATACCATTTGTAACAGTTCAAGCCTACCACTAGCAGATATTGTCCTCTTTGGACTTTCCCTTTCGGACTTTCCCTCAAGGTTTTCAAAACACGTATGCTAGAGAGAGGTTTCCACACCCTTATAAAAAAATGTTTCGTTCTCCTCAACTAATGTGGAATCTCA